GGTCCCCTGTGCACGCCTAAGCTTGTCTAAGCAGGTACTTTAGACTGCTGAGCTATCTCGCTGGCCCCAAAACACTGATTTTTATTTAAGCCCCTGTACTTACTCAAGGAAGAGCCATGAAGAAGTGCACAGTTGGGACAGTGATACAGGTCAATGTCAACAGCATGGTGTTCTTCTACTCCAACACAGCTAAAACGGAGAAAAATAAAGTCAATATGTAAACAAATTCAAGTTGACAATCTAACTACAATGCAAGGCTTGGAACTGAACTGTGAATAGACAAGAAACTCACCAGCAAATTTTGTACAGCACAAAAACATACAAGGATAAATTTTATTCTCTTCATTATACTCTTGCTACTTACCACTTGTGCAGAAGAATATACCCAAATATAGACTAAGTGAGTTGGTCTCAATAGCAGTTGAGACATCAGAAATACTGTAATTATAAACCATCAAATCCCTAACCATTATTTGAATGCCACTGTTATAGAATTACTGTCAATAAGATATGACTCAAAAGTCATAATAAAAATCTGAAAATTATTTTTAAGCTGAACAACAATGAAAATGCTACATAACAAATTTGTAGGGTGCATAATCTACAAACAGATATGTATAACTTTAAATGAATGTTTTTGGAAAAAAACGCTGAAATTACTGAGTGAAGCCTATGCCTCAAGTGACAAAAAATAAACCTCAGCCACAGAAGCAAGGAAAAGTAGAGATGTGTGACATAGAAAACAAACATGCATCAGAGCATCAAAGCAAAAATAGATCACTAGAAAAAATAAACTGAACAAATCTTAGCAAGATCAAAGACACAATCAATATCAAGAATGAAAAAAGCAAGACGAAACAATTGCTTCTGCTGAACAAAGTATTAAAAAGGGTATCATGAACAATTTATGCTGAGATGGAAAACTCCAGACCCAGAGGACCTCACATGCAAGTTCTTTAAAATAGTAAAAGAATAAATAGTTTTAATACATAAAACCTGCCCTGGGGATAGGAAAAAAAGAATTATTCCTAACTCATGTTATGACAGTATAACCTTGGTAGCAACTTTGGAACAGGATGAGGCCAGGTCACTCTCACTTAGCAATAAGGATGCAAGCATCACACTGGCTCACCCCTACAAATGCAAGGTAGTTTGGAACACTAAAAATTCTTATCAGTGAAATGAACCACATTAATAGAGTCTAAGAAAACAAAAAGTAAACTTTTGAGGGGAGCAGTATCACGGATCAAACTCGGGACCTTGCGCTTGCCAAGCAGGCACTTATGCCACTGAGCTATCTCCCCAGCCATCCTCCGAAAAGTAAACATTTTAAAAGATTTGGGGCAAGTATTTGGTAAAAGTCAGTATTCACTTTGGTTATAAAGCAAACAAACAAAACTCCTTAGCAAACAGAGTAGAAGCTACTTCCAGAATGTAATAAAGGGTGCTTCTAAAAAATCCCATGCAAATATGAAAGCAGTCACATTTAGATTAAGACTACAACAAAAATGTCTGTTATCACTACTTCTAATAAATACCATACCCAAGGAACAAGCTGATATAGTAAAATAAGAAAAAGAATTAAAAAGTGTAGGGGGCCGGGGAGATGGCTCAGTGGAATAAGCGCTTCCCTGGCAAGCGCAAGGGCCTCAGTTCAATCCCCGGTTCTGCCAAAAAAAATAAAAAAAAGTGTAAGGATTAGAAAAGAAAAAAGC